CGTCATCGCCCCGCCCCTTTCTCCACAGCGGCGCAGTGCGCAGGCGCCAACGGCCCCCGCCCGCCTCCGGTACCGGGGGCCCGGGCCCTGTCAGGGCCTCGCACCGGCCCCGTTAACGGCCCCGGGACCGCCCGCCACAGCCCCACGCCCACAGCCCGGGCCTCCAGCCCCACCCTCTCCCCTCAGCCCCTCACGGGCAGCAGCAGGCCGCAAAGAGCCTCGGGCCGATCCCCCGGACACCGTGAGGGGCCAGGGAGGGAACGGGCCGGCGCGGGCCTGCCTGTGCGGCCGCAGGAGCCCTGCGTGAGGGGCTGAGCTGCGACACAGCGCAGGAGCCAAAGGGAAACCCGGCTCAGGCTCTTCCCGCAGGCGGGAAACGCAGCAGCCATAGGGAAACAGCCGGCACGAGGCCGTTAGCAGCACGGACAGACCCGCAGGAAAGCCAGAGCGCTGGCGGGCACACGTGAGCCACAGAGAGAGCATTCCTTAAGGAAAAAACGCCCGTGCCCCAAGACGGCTCTTCTGCACCAAAGTCGATGTCGAAGGTGGGGTTTTGCCGCTCTCCTGGCCGCACAAATGAGAAAGGACAAGAGGCGTTTCAAACCCACGTTTTACTTATTTACCCTCGAGCGAGTCACGGGGTTTACACTGCGGTGGCAGTTTGGAGGCAGAAGGGCGCCCTTCTTCACTCGGCCATTGCTTCTCTCAGCCTTCGCTTCCCTCGTCCCCCCCCAAAAAAAAAAAAGAAACACACAAATATAAATACAAGGTAGAAAGTTCTCCGGGGGCGGGTGGCGGCGCAGGACCCGCACACCTAGTCCAGGTCGTTGGCCGTGTCTTCATCTGTGAGACTCTGTCCGTTCACGGCCGGTAAATCGTACTGGCCTTGGGATAAATCCTCAAAATCCTGACTCATGGTGGGAGAGATGATGTCAGGGCTGGTGTCGCAGGACTCCGTGCTCTGCTCAGAGGTAGCGATGGTGGTTGTCGTGCTTTTCGGGACGGGGTCGAAGTCGTCGTCGTCTTCTAGGATGGGAGATTCGTGGATGTCTGGAAGGGGAAGACGCAAACGTTAGTTTTGCTGCTGCGGCCACGCGAGACGAGGCGCTGCCGCTGAGACAGCAGGCACGAGAGGTGCCCCAGCAGAACAATTTGCTCATTTCTAATTCTAAATTTTGTCTGCTTGTAGCAGCAGTCAATTAAAAAAAAAAATACAATGCCACATAAATTAGCGGCCATTTGTAACTTCTTGCAACCACATTTAATATAATCAAGAAGCTTTCCAGGCTTTTAGCGCATGCCTGGACGTCTCTGCGGCTTCTCCCGGCTCCCGAGAGCTGCCTCACACGTTTTTAGGAAAAGGGACGCTTCGCAGGGGAAGAAAACCGACGGAAAATCCCCGCGTCGGGGGAATCACTCACTGCTGAAAGCCTCCGGGTACTGCTTCGCCAGCTTCCCTTTCAGCGTCCTGGGGGAGGAGAGAGCGAGCCGAGTTCACGGGAAGCCGATAATCCTGCGTTCCCCAACCGTCCTGCTGCCTCGAGGGAGCGCAGACCATCCCGGCTGGAGCAGAACTGAGGAATCCCAAAGCTCCGGCCCCCGCAGCTCCTCTCCCGCTGCCTCCGCGCGTTGCTCGGCCGCGCGCTTTCCTCTCTCCGACCATTTTGACTTCCAAAACTGCCCCCAGCTCCTGCTCACGTCCCGCTCTAACGCCCCTGCAGCCTGCTCAGACCCCGAGGAGCCGCCCCGCGCTCTCCGTGCCGTCTCCCTCCCCCCCGGCAGCGGCGTTCCCGTTCCCCGTTCCCACCGGATCCTCCGGAAGATGCTGTCCAGGTCCTTCTTCATTTCCACCAGCGTCTTGGTGTGGTGGAGGAAACGCTCGTTCATCTGCTGCATGCGGACACTGGAGAGGTTGTTGAAGTTGAGCAGCATCTCGTTGGTCTTCTCGAATCGATCCAACCTGGGTGAGGGAAGCAAACGGAGCTTGGCAAAGATCCCGGGAAGCTCCCGGTGCCGGTACCGGGCTCCCCGCCGGCCGGTTTCCCCCGGGACTCACATGTTTTTCTGGGCCAGGATGATGGCGTTGACGTCCTCGGCGTTGACCATGCCCAGCACCCGCCCGCAGAACACCTGCGAGGCCGTGGGCTCCATGGCGGCCTGCGGGACCGCGGGGGGCGGCTCAGCCGGGACGGCGGGAGTCTCCCGTGCCCCCGGGGCCGGTAACGGAGACCCCTCTCCCCCGTGTCCCCGGTAATGGGACCCCCTCCGCCCTGCCACACCGCCGGTACCGGAGGTACCCCTGCCTCCCCGCCGCCGTGACGGTCCCCGGGCGGCTCCACCCGCACCCG